AACAGTTCGCCAAACTTTGAGGGCTGATTCGCGTAATGGTTACGCGTGTAGGTCTGCAACGCTTCCAACACCTGCTTCTGACACGACCGCACTTTATCCGACTCTTTGAGACCACTCGCGTCTAATTCATGGCAACAAAATATACACACAATTAACAAAACATCAATTAATAACAATCAAATCAATGGACACTTACCCGACGTGAGAAGAATAATCACTTTAAGACAGCAGTACTCGTATTGATCGAACTGAAGACGTCTTAAGTGTTCGGTGAGGTTCAGCATCCGCTCGATGACTGTCCCTAAGCCTAACTGCTGCGACTGCTCTAACGTAACCGATTTGCCGCTCGACAAACGGATCTCTTTGGGCGTCGATATCGATCGGTAACAACAGCTCAATAGCAAGAGCTCACACCACGAGTTAATCAGGAGTGCTATTTGATCGTCCATCTGATCATTCAATAAATACGGCAACAAATTAAACATCGATTCTTTCACCCAATCGTCAATAAATACCTGAATTTCTCTAAACAGTGGCAAACTTTTACACCATTTAACTATTTTGTAGAGTCTATGGTCTGCTATATTACACAAATCAATTTCACTCGAGTTCTGACTAATGCTTAACTGCCTATCACTTTGTGCTCCATTAGCCGCCGAACTGTCGGCTTCTTTGTCCGCGTTGTGCCACAAGTGCTCGACAGACATAATGTCTTCGATTAGACGCGGGATCCGATCGATCGATGAACTGTTAGACGTGTCCATTGAGTCCACGTCTGGTTCCCGTTTGGACAACGAATTCGCCCGAAACTGAGACTCTGTGTGAACAAAGTTGGTCTGCAGTTCGGACTGAGCGGCCATTGAGGACACCATTTCGGGCAAACGGGCCTCCGATAGAGATTGAGGAGACAGTGTGTACGAGCATTGGTACGTACTTCGACCGCCTCTCGTCCTGTCCTCTCTAATCGCCTCTAATTTCATGCCTTAATTAAGAGCAAAACATAATTATACAAAACATGTCAACAGAAGGCTGTGTGTTGAGTACAAACCCATTTTCAAGCACTTGTCGAACCTACAGGCGGGACACTTCTTGCGGGTAGTCATCGAGACGTGACAGTTGGCGCCCCGAAGACACACGTAGTTCTTCTTGTTCTGAACCGTGCGTTTGAAGAACCCTTTGCAGGACTCGCACGAGAAGATGCCGTAATGGAAACCGGATATGCGGTCACCGCAAACAGGACACGGACCTAATCGTACGGACATTCAATCATTGGTCAGCAATTCAAACAATCAAATGGTTGGTCTCGTTGTATACCTGATAATAGCTGTTGCCGACTGAGTCCGGGTCCCGGGGCGGAGGCGGCGATGGCCAGGAAGTGTGCGTTATGTGTGGCCACCGATGCCTGACTGAAATCTGTTGCCAAAGTGTTATTACAATTCTGGACGTATTTGTCTTCGCAGGTGTCGGTCGAGTGCCGTCGCGACGGCGACGCGAAGTCCGATGTGTTAGACTCGTCCGACGCCGACGAGATCACTGACGCCGAAGAGGCTGCTAATAGACAGTCAATACGATTAAACGCTAATCTCATCGCTAATAATAAACATCAAATGTATACTAAATAAACACATTTTATAGTATTTATATGTATTTACATAAATTGAGATTTATTTTTATATAAACAACAAATTGGTGTCAATTAAACGCCTTAAATATATTAATATTAAATCTTATTAAAAAGTGTCTGAAACTCACGCTATGTGTGCGAAACATAATAATCGGTTTACTATGTAATCATATAATAATTATGCAAATAATTCATACATAGATAATAATTGTATTTTTATTACTGACTACTATTTTATTATTTACTAAAAAAATAAAACAAAAATTTAATATAAAAACAAACAAAACTTGCATTTTCACTAATGATTGACACAAATCAACAAAAGTTATGTCTGGAAAGGTATCGCTTGGAAAAAGATTTGATAATTGCATACAAAAAACTTGATTTCGTAAACATTTCACGGATTTTCAATAAAAACATTACACGAATTAAAGTTATTATTATTTTGTAATAAAAACACACTAAAAATTCAATAAATATTCACCAAAAAAGTTATGTTTAATATAAGTGTAAATAAACTGCGATTAAAATCACTAAAACATATAATTAATTAAAATTTATTGCCAATAAATAGTAAAAATTGATGTAAAATTGAATTAATAAAACATAATTATCGGATCACTTACTGGTGGACCGGAGCTCCGGGAGTGAGTGCGGCGTCAATGGCGAGGCCTGAGACAAACGAGAAGAGCTGTCAGTTGTAAAGAGATGGTAATCATGAGCGGAGACACAGCCGCTGTCCCGACTCGCCAACAGGTGGTGAAACGGTTGCGAACCAATCGATGACATTTGCATCGCTATTCACAGACAAATACCGATCAATATTAACAATTCAAAGACTCGGCACAAATGTGGCGACAAATTAATACCAATTTGATTAGCGCTCATATCGTTAGCATTGATTATCACAGAGTGGTGTTGTTGTTGCTGTTGTTGTTGTTGTTGTTGTGCTTTAATGTAATTGAGTTCAGGAGTAGTCGATTGACTTCTGGCGTGCATAGAGACGGGCGAACAATTGGGCAAACAGTTCCGTACGGCCGTCACGGGAGTGCTCACCGGCCGTAGCGGTAGAGGAGAGGCCGTACCGGCCGTCGGCGGCATCGCTTCTGTATGACAATCATGTGGTCAATACATTATCAACGCAATGGTTAACAAATGTCTTACCGGTCTTCGTAATGGTGTTTGGATTATTCATTATCCCCACAGATATCTATCTAACCATCGATTGAACGCCAATGGATCGCATCGGCAAAACACATCCTCACAACTAAACAAATGGTCACAAAGACGTCAACAATGATCGCAATCTGACGCTCAAGAGTGGCCCACAAAACACACAATCAAATAATTGTCACAAAACAATATCTAATCCACAAAAAATGTGTCTAAAAACGAGACAATTGTCGACACAGAAAGACACATAAACAACACACACGACGGGTGGCCACAAAGTGATGTCAATGGGCGGTGAATCAGTGATCGTTACGATCAGATGCCCAACGGATCCGGTGGTGATGGCGTGTGCGGACAGACATGTAGACACACATCAAGATGTGGTGATTGATGGCGAAGATAATCAATATATAGGGCGCCTCAGGAGTGGACCAAATACTGTAAATGACAGACAAATGCAAATACACTGTAAGATACAAATGATTGGATCAATTGGAGTGACAAACCGTGTGAATTGCGTTGAGGTATGTCTCGCAGCGAGTGTTGGCCGTATAGTCGGCCATATTGTGTATGCGATGGCAGTAATAGTGATAACGTGTGTAACAATTGGTTAGCAATTAATGGTTAATAGCTATTAATTGTGTGTCTAATGAGTGTCAGTGAGTCTCACAACTCATTCAATATCACACTATATTTTCTCATTAAAATCTATTATACTTTTCCCAACCAATCAAATGCCATTCACTTCGATACTAGTTATACAAACCACACTCGCTATGATGTACACCAACTTTTACGCACATACTCTACGCGTAATACACGCACAATATATATACTGTTGACCCCAATACAGGCTGTTGTGCAATATATACCGTGTATTGACTGTCGTTATTGGCATTATTCACAACACTCTCATCAGACATAATGTTAACCCTATGAGGGAGTGCTTTATATACAATCTACACTCCCTGTTGTAGTGCTCCCCACTGTACCACCTGTTAACCAGTTATATGCAACGTTAACCTATGCAATATTTCAATTAGCATGATCATCATACTGTAGTGTTTTGGTTAATATTCACTTATTTTGGTTCATATTTATGCAAAATAAAGTTATATGAAATACATTTGCCGTCAACTATATCGAGGCTGACCTGTATATAAGGTTAAGCCATAGACTCAATGGTTATACAAAAACTAACCAAACATTAGATGGCATTCAAACACTGCAAACAATTTCTCACTTCAAGGGCGAGACCTTCACATCGCACACAAAGTCTGTGACGCCACTGGAGTTTAGCCCATAAATGAGCCCCTTTTGCCGTAAACCCCAACTCTATAGCAGCAAAATTCTATGTGATTTCCTGCCAATCATACACTCACTACACTCACTATAAAATGCTATGTATTATGTGTTCAATCATTAATGTTAAAAACTATTGTATTGCAAAAAAGCAGTTGGCAAAAAGTAATTTTATTATTCTTTATGCTGACTTTTACCTTGTTAATTGTACGTTTGGTAATTTACCTGTCTAATTGAACATAGAATTATTAATGCATATACAAGTATATCTAGTTAATTAGTTAATTAATATTACAATTAGGGAATTTTCCCATGTTATTTAAATGGCAATTTGTAATAAAACTTTTTTTGCAACTCATTTGAATATAATTTACATTAATTAATAATTATAAATGATGGTTAAACAACACTTATACAACCAATCTCAATTAATAAAACACCACTAATAAACGCTATGAATGGAAAATTAAAACTAAATTAACATTTGTTCAAAAGTCAATTCAATAATCGGGGGCCAAAAATAGGCCAATAAATGACAACATTATTTATGTATGGCTTTAGAGCACAGAAAACAGGAGAGAATTGAGAGAAAACATTGAATTAAAAAAACACAAAATATTTAGGCATTCATTGAATGACAATTCATTTGAAGGCATCGTTTGGCGGACAACACAATCACAAGAAGCGGAAGAATGTCTTTGAGTGAGTTCTGGCACCACTTGACGGGTCCCCGACTCTATCGGATCTTCAGGTTTAGAGACGCGCCGGTAATTACATCCCAAATGTCTTGACGTCTTGAGGCAAACCCTCTGTTCACTTGACTAATGCTTTTGATGTGTTTGTTTTGACCACAACTATAGGGCCGAAGATATGCGGCCAACTCTGTGGAGGTCTATTCGGATAAAGTGGTGAAACTGGTGACAGTGTTGAGTTCGTTGGCCCTCTACTCGAGCCCTATAGTGATCACATACCTGTTCCGCAAGGGATGGATCACGAGTGCCAACAATTACATTGTGTTTAACCACTCGTTTCTACGGATCGCCACAACACTGACGTTCGTATACGTGGGCGCACTCCTGGCCAGAGGTAACAATTTGCCCCCCGAATTTTATGCCCAACTGGGCATGAAATATATATGCCCAAAATGCCGGGCATTTATGCCTAGGCATATGCCCAGTGGGCATAATGCCTAGTAGGCATTTTCAACCGTAGTCGTTATTGGCATTATTCACAACACTCTCATCAGACATAATGTTAACCCTATGAGGGAGTGCTTTACATACAATCTACACTCCCTGTTGTACTGCTCCCCACTGTACCACCTGTTAACCAGTTCTATGCAACGTTAACCTATGGGATATAAATTAACATGATGATCATACTGTAGTGCTCTGGTTAATATTAACTTATTTTGGTGCCAAATAAAGTTATATGAAATACATTTGCCGTCAACTATACGGAGGCTGACCTGTATATAAGGTTAGTCCATAGACTCAATGGTTATAAAATACAAAAACTAACCAAACATTAGATGGCATTCAAACACTTCAAACAATTTCTCACTTCAAGGGCGAGACCTTCACATCGCACGCAAAGTCTGTGACGCCACTGGAGTTTAGCCTAGAAATTAGCCCCTTTTGCCATAAACCCTAACTCTATTGCAGCAAACTCTATGTGATTTCCCGCCAATCATACACTCACTATAAAATGCTATGTTTTATGCGTTTAATCATTAATGTTAAAAACTATTGCATTGCAAAAAGTAATTTTATTATTCCTTAAGCTGACTTTTACCTTGTTAATTGTACGTGTGGTAATTTACTTGTTTAATTAAACATAGAATTATTAATGCATATACAAGTATATAGACGTTTTAGTTAATTAATATTACAATTAGGGAATTTTCCCATTTATTTAATGGCAATTTGTAATAAAACTTTTTTGCAACTCATTTGAATATAATTTACATTAATTAATAATTATAAATGCAAAATAGTAATAAATGATGGTTAAACAAACTTATACAATCCATCTCAATTAATAAAAGGCCACTATGAATGGCAAATTAAAACTAAATTAACATTCTTCAAAAGTCAATTCAATAATCGGGGGCCAAAAATAGGCCAATAAATGACAACATTATTTATGTATGGCTTTAGAGCACAGAAAACAAGAGAGAATTGAGAGAAAAAAACATTGAATTAAAAAAATACAAAATATTTAGGCATTCATTGAATGACAAATCAAATCGTTTGAAGACATCGTTTGGCGGACAACACAACCACAAGAAGCGGAAGCAATGTCTTTGAGTGAGTTCTGGCACCACTTGACGGGTCCGCGACTCTATCGGATCTTCAGGTTCAGAGACGCGCCGGTAATTACATCCCAAATGTCATCTCAAGACTTCTTGAGGCAAATGTTGTATTCACTTGACTAACGCTTTCGATGTGTTTGTTTTGACCACAATTCTAGGGCCGAAGATATGCGGCCAACTCTGTGGAGGTCTACTCGGATAAAGTGGTAAAATTGGTGACAGTGTTGAGTTCGTTGGCCCTCTACTCGAGCCCTATAGTCATCACATACCTGTTCCGCAAGGGATGGATCACGAGTGCCAACAATTACATTGTGTTTAACCACTCGTTTCTACGGATCGCCACAACACTGACGTTCGTATACGTGGGCGCACTCCTGGCCAGAGGTATGTCACCCACTGTTTGATGGATTTGTATGTTTGATGACATGTATGTGCCGTGTCTTCAGGTATCGGTCGCTCGACAAACACTGATTACCGGAGTTTTGCTCGAATACTGAAGAGCTCTAAACAGAAGAGCGATTTGTCTCGACTCACACTTTCGCGGTTTGAGTTCGACTTCAATCACTGGCCAATCGATTTCCGATGGTATGAGTCGAAGCTGTCGGACACGAAGAAAGCGCCGCAATTGGTGTCAGCGCGAGGCTCGTCGCGGCGGTCAACGCTGTTGTCGATTCCGTGCGATCTCTTGAGTTACGTTGTGGTGCACACCATCGGTCGCCGTATGCTATACCCGGGTTCTGTGGGTTTGCTTCAGTTGGCGCTGAGCGGCGCTCTGGAAGACGGCCGCACCAAACTCGTCGAGGAGAACAGTGGCGAGCGATACAAACTGTTGGCCAGAGATGGCAATCATATCGACACTATGTTTGTCGACCGCCGGGTCAGGGGTTCGCCAAAGAGCAAGACTCTGGTCATATGCAGCGAAGGCAACGCCGGCTTTTACGAGATCGGCACAATGTCCACACCATTAGACGCCGGCTATTCGGTGCTCGGCTGGAATCACCCGGGCTTTGGCGGCAGCACTGGTCTCCCGTTCCCGCAGAACGATATCAACGCCATAGATGTGGTCATTCACTTTGCCGTCGAGCGGTTGGGCTTTCCGTTGGATTCAATCATTTTCTTCGGCTGGTCTATCGGCGGGTTTCCCACCTCTTGGGCCGCACAGCAGTATCAAGACATCAAAGGTGTCGTTTTGGACGCCTCTTTCGACGACGTGCTGCCATTGGCTGAGGCGAAGATGCCTAACGCCATAAGTATGTCTTGTTTTGGGTTTGAAAATTGATTGAATTGCCACTAATTGGTAACCCGTTTGATGTTTAGATCCAATCGTACAGAACGTAATCCGTGGTTATTTCAATTTGAATGTGTCGGCAAATCTGAACCAATACGCGGGTCCCGTGGCCTTCATTCGGCGTCTTCAGGACGAGATAATTAATACTAACCATTTGGAGCCGTTTCGCACCAATCGGGGCAATGATATGCTTTTAAAACTACTTAACAATCGTTTCCCGAAACTGATGGCCGACGAGAAGGCAAAGAAGGCGCTCGAAGATTGGCTAATGAGTGATCCAAACGGTCAATGTATGCATGATTTGACTCTATATTTGCTGTCAATTTTATATTTACGGTAATATTTGTTTGGATTTTAGCCGCAATTGTGAACACTTATGAAGTGCGGGACGACTACTGTATGACTGAATTGTTGTCATACATCGACAGAACCGGCGCTCAATACCCGCTCCTCATTGGAGATGACATGTCGTCCGAACTGAAGATTAAATTAATTATATTTTTAGTGAGTATTTCATGTTATGGTATAAAAATGGTAATCTAATTATGCGATTGCAATGTTAGGCCAAGAAACACATGAAGAATTACGACTCCACTCATTGCACACCACTTCCGCCCCTACTGTTTGAGGAACCGTTTGATTTGTTTGCTATTTATAGATCCAAATATAACAGTAAATTATAGATTTTATATAATTTTAATGCAATTTTAACGACAAATACTTTTTCTAAATAATTAATAGAGTGATGTGAAAATGACAGCTCAGCTGATGAATAGTTTTTTATGATTTATAAATTTGTTATTTTTTGTATGAATACATAATTTGTTTTGTTGTCGCTTTTGATTCACTCGAAATACTGAAAACATTCATTCATTCACTTAAATTACTCTTCACTTTAATTGACTCCATATTTGCCATTGAAATGCATTAAAGAGTCATTTGATTCCTATATACGAATTGGTATTCAAGCGAACAGACGCTGAATTTGTTATCCAAATGTTTGTACATATAAATTAGTATAACTTAATATTAGTTTTAGTTTAATAGTCAATAGTTTTTCAGCATTTTATTTAAGTACCGGTACACATAGAAAATATATAAATTTTAAAACAAATGAAATAATTTAGACATTTATTCAACAATAAAATAAAGCATTAATTAAATTCAAAGGTTATTATTTATGAATAAATCTAATTTTGAAACAATTGGAGCTCAAAGTCGAGTCCTTTAACGAATAGATCGCAGAGTTTGGTCTCGTCTTCTTCGGGCAATCTGTTGACAATTTGTCGGATTTCATCATAAATTGATCTCAAATTC